TCGCAGTGCACATCCCCCTCCCACAAATCATTTGTTCGGGCCATGTTCCTGCGGCCAAACATCGCGCTGCTGGATCCCGCGGCACAGTCCTCGGCAGAGAAGTGAGGGGAGGAAGAGGGACCGCAGAAGGTGCGAGCAAATCCGAATTCGGTGGCGGTCGCCGCAGTGAAGATTGACGTCCCACGCGGTGTCCCTTTTCTGGGTCCGGCCCTCACCGCGCCATGCTCTCAGCGTGCGGTGCGCCGGCCGCTCCAAACATCCACACGTGCTTGCGTCTCACCGTCGTTCCCAGCCCCGTTCGTTGGCTGCATCAGGGATGCCGCCATCCGGAGACGGGCATAAGGACGTTGCATCCAACAAAACCCTCAGAGGCACCCGGTGGGCCAACGACGACCGTCACTGCGGGATGTGTGGCCCTTCCGCCACTCACCTCAAATCGCACTTCTACGCCTCCTCGAGCAGCAGCAGCATAAATACACCGGTCCACTAGAGGCCCTCACCAGCCATTGCAGGAAGAACACTATGCCTCGGTGCTATGAAACCCGAACTGCATTGACGGGCCACTTCGGAAAATCCTGTCGCATCCACCCCATTATGCGGAAACACATCCGTCGTGCATGTGTCCACCGCAGTCAAATGAATCTGGTCCAAATACCCTCCAAATCAAATTCCCCTTTCCTCGAGCCATTCCTTCATTCCATACGCCCTGACCCTCATCCGCACGTGCCCACTCACACAAGCCGCCATAGACAGATGGCGGCCGCCCAACGCTCCGGAAAAACATGCCCAGCACGCACGCGCACAACAAATGACATGCGCCAACGCACGACACAACGGCGGAGAAGCGCACACCAAAAGGATGCGGCCCTCCACAGCAGTCACAGCCCACCGCGCGCATCGCACCCGCAGGAAGAGTGACTCGGGCTGCGCACTCCCTCTCTCCTCCTTCCATTCATGCCCACGGAGGAAGCAGCAGCCACCCGCAACCGCAAGCACACGCTACAAAAGAAGCATTCAAATCCACTGCAATGTGCATCTTGTGTGTGTGTTCCTGCAGAAACACAAAGCAAAGAAGTAGAAAAGGAAGCAGAGTATGTGGAAGGATGCACAAAAATGTACAGCGGAGGTGCATGGCAGAAATAAAGAGAAAAAGACTGCTCAAACTCACGACTGCACCGCAGCCCAAGCAGCGGCAATTCAAACAAGATTTATCCAAAACAAAAAAGCTTCCTCCTCGTCTTATACAAACCCCATCACACAAAATAATTATAAATAAAAAAGAAATCGTCCATTACTGTTCCACACAAATTTAAAAAAGCTGCCGGCTGCCGTGTGGCCACACCAAACCGTCTGCATATTTTGCCCGCAAATAAAATTAAAAGATATTTAAATGTGTTTCAACCGTCCGACCCTCTGTGTGTCCGCACATCGTTTATATTTCATGGGGTCATCTGCGTGTTGCTGCTCCCCTCAGCCCTCCCATCGGCGCGTGAGTGCGGCCCGCAGAGCAAAGTCACTCGTGTGTGTGGGGACTGAGAGAAGCACGCAGACACGACGGGAGTCGCGTCACTCCATCGGGAGAGTGAGCGCAGCAAAAAACAAAAGAAAAACACGGCGGCAGGGTGTGGCTGTGTGTGTGGCGCTGCGGGTGTCTGCCCGCCCTGGCCGCAAGGAAAACAAAACAAGAGGGAAAGAAATGTGTGCGCCGCCCCACAGGCCCTCGTCGCACGCCCACACGTCACGGCTCCCTCAGCGCGCCGTTCGTCGCGGCCCCTCCTCATGCGTGCAGCAGGCGAGGCGCACAGGGCCGTCGTCATGAGCGTGTCGGTGGGTGTGCGAGCGGAGCAGTTGGGCGGGAAACACACGGCACCCCTCGCAGGAAGAGTGCAGCAGAAACAATTAAAGAGGGAAGAGTAGAAAAGAAAAAAGAAATTCCATAGTGATTGCCCCAAAGCAAAAAGAAAAGGGGTGTGGGGACGTTGGAAAAAAATGAAAATCACAAACAAATAAAAATGAAAAAAGAATTTTAAAACAAAAAAGAAGCAAAAATTAAGATAAATTTAAAATACACACAAAAAAGTAAAAGTATCAAAAATATTCTTTCCAGAGGAAGTAATCGTGTGCATCGGAGGTCGCAATTGTCCCACGCGGCAGCCAGTTACGCCTCACAGAGCCGCAAACCCCCACAGTCCCAACAGAAGAAGCAGCGACGGCAGCAGTCCGCTCCCATGTATGGTGATGGCATCGCTGTTATTCAATTGCGAAAAATTTCCAGGGCTGCTGCTGAGTGCCGCAGCATTTACTTCCCCGGCCTGTGGATGGACCTCTTCCTTCTGCGCATCCGTTCCTCCCACCGTCCCCTCATCCTCAGCAGAGCTTGCGCTCGACTCATGTTTCACCGTGGATCCGCCAGGAGTGGACACGGACACGGTTTTCTGTGCAACTGGTCCGCCCACCGCTGGCGAAGGAGTATCCACCACCACCGCTTCGGTAAGATCTTCAGGAGGTGAAATGGGGGCTTTATTCGGGTTGAGGGCGCCAATCTCTTCGGAAGTCAACGGACGATTGTACAGCAGGACATTCGTCACCGTCACAGGCACGCCTTCTTGGCCCTCTGCGCTGCTTCCATCCCCTCCAATGTAGAAGTAGGAGATCTCTTTAGAATCCGCAGTTTCCAATTTACACTGTTCATCCCCACCCACAGGCTGACCATCGACGTACGCAGAGCTCTGGTTGCCGTTCTGTAGCACAATGGCCACTTGGTACTGTGTCTGTGGCTCCCAATCGCTGCTGTGCTCCTTGTTCGTTTTGCCACCGCACAGTAATATCCACTTCCCCTCTTTGTCGTATGACAGTCCCAGGAGTACTGTATTCTCACTGTCATTCAGCTTCGCACCAATCATTGGAATAGAACCCCCCTTCGGCACACCATCGATGGTCACTGTCGCCACAAGAGTAAAGTTGTAGTTCGCAAAGTGGTACAGCTGATTCTCCCCTTGCCTGCCAACAGGCCACTCCGCCCACGCTCCCTGGAACGTCACTCCATCCGCATACCCCGTTGCCGCCCCATCATCATTGTTCTTTACTGTGGCGTTCACCCCGAGGTACTCGTCCATCCATGTGTTACCAGAGAAGTTGCCGGACAAAAAGCCAACCAGCCCATCCGTGATCTTAACAGCGCTGCAGTCATTTTCAGTTGGACGGTCCTTCTCAGCACTTGGGGGGCACAGCTGGGAAACGCTTTGGTCCACATTATTCCAGGTCGTCAGCACCTCCTTCACCCGCTTCAGCTGCCCAGTCAGAAGCACAGAGACCATACCGGGTGATGGTGTATCCCCATCGCCCTTCTTCTTCTCGTACAGTGCAATCAACTCATCATTCTGCTCATTATTACCTTTACCACTTTTGTACAACAGGGAGCTGGCGGTAATCTCTTCTTCATCTTCCTCGGATACCAGCCCAATATAGGCAATGTGCGTATTGTCCGTCAGCCAAAGATGGAGTACGCCCTTTTCTACATTCTCGGAATACACCGGCAGAGTAACGAGCATCACGTTCTTCTTATTATCATTTTCAACACCGTCAAGAGTCGCTGTGCTGAACCCGCTCCTTACGCCCTTCTCATTTCCCTCGTGTTTGTTGCCCCACACGCGCGAGAGTGTCCCGAGCGCTTCAGTCCACGTTGTCCCCTTGTCACCGGACTCGTACACCCTGCGGCGGCCATCATCACATGCAGTCATCATCATGAGTTTATCCTTCTCCCACTCCACGACGGAGGGAACACTGCAGCCATCGGCAGGCACCTCCTTTGACAATGTCCAGCTCTCAGTACCCTGCAAGTATAGGACCAGCGAAACGGTCTTTCCATCCTCTTGTGTGTCGACCTCCTTCTTCCCTTCCACCGGGAACACAAGCGTACCGTCATTCATCTTAAGACCCGATCCACCACTGCCGATCAGCCGCTTCAGGATACTGTGTTGGTTGCCTTTGTAAGTCCACGGAATGGCGTAAGTATCGTTCCAATAAATTCTTTTATCCCTTTGGTTCTCACCACTGACGTGCCCTTTCACCAGCATGAGTCCCCAGCCAATTGCCTGATCGCCAGCTTGAAGTGTCCGGCTGTTTTTTCCAACCAGCATGTAAATATCACTTCCATTCACAACTGTTGTTGGTCGGCTCACATCTACTTCCTTCTCCCCCTCTGAGGAAGTGACTTCTTCCAGAACTTGTGTCACTCTGGCATCCTTCAGCACCTCCTCCTTTTCTTTACCCTTATCCATCGAGAGAAGTTGGGATGCAATGCCAGTAAAATATTTTCCATCCTTCTTGCACTGCGCCTCGGCAACGGCAAATACATCACTCCCCACTTTCAAAAGGCCGGGAACACCCAACGAGTTCACAGTTACACCATCCTCACTCTTGACGTCCTTCCATTTATAATTTGGTTCAGATGGCTTCCCATCAGAAGCCGCAGCCCCACCAGTGCCGCAGCACACCATCACGACAGAGGAGGAGCACCGTGGAAGTAAACACACGCCGGGACATGTTGGGCCTCTGCGGCTCACTCTCTCTTCCTTCCCTCCTCCTTCCGCGGGATCCGGTCACACGGCGACGGTTGTGTGTGCGGGGTGCCTTCACAGCTGCAACACGTGAGAGCATATAAATATGTGTGTGTGGGCGGTGTGTGTGCTGTTGGTTCTTTCAGTGCCTTCGAATTTCACAGTAGCGATTCGCGCTTGTTTGCTTTCCTTTTCAAGTGTGTGTGTCATAAATGGGGAGAAGAGCACAGGGAAACACATTAGACACGCCAGTGGGGTGCACAGCATGCCACTGCAGCAACAATCATTTATTCCAACCATACACACGCCGAGGTGGAAGGGCTGTGTGTTTTTCAAAAAGG